CCGGGCGGGGCTTCTCTTCCCCCCCCCCCCCGCCTCCCTCCGGCGGCGCTTCACTTGGCATTCACACGGACTTTTCCTTCCTCTCCGTCGCCGTCCTTGGATTCCCCTTCCTTCCAGGGATGCTTAGAAGCGGCCGACATTCCACCCGGGATGAGTTGGCCGCATCCGCCGAGGAGGCAGCGCCAACGCCTAGCAAAAGTTCCAGGGGGCTGCAGGGAGCAGCGCCAGGCGTGGCTGCCCCGTCCCGGGATTGCAGCAGCAAACGGCAAAGTCCGCCTGCCTCTGCTTCCCTAGCAGGGCTGCCTCCGCCCCCGCCGCCGCCGCCGCCGCCCCCTGCGCGGCTCCTCTTCCAGCCTCCCCTTACCTGCCCCGGGATGGGAAACCCAATGCGGAGGAGCTAGCCGCCGCGTCGCGAGCTCAGCTACCGTAATGCCCCCTCGGAGAAGCATATTCCGCCGTTACCTTATTTCCTGACTGGCGAGCAGGCGGAATAAACAAACACTCGCAAATGGAATCCGGCCTTGCCAGATTGTGAAGGATGGCTCTGAACGTCCCGTTTAGATTCGTTAGTAAATCAGGGGTAGGCAACCTTGGCTCTTTTATGACTCGTGGACTTCAACTCCTAGAATTCCTGAGCCAGCCATGGCTGGCTCAGGAATTCTGGGAGTTGAAGTCCACGAGTCATAAAAGAGCCAAGGTTTGCCTACCCCTGCGTTAGTTTAATCCAGGGATCTCCAACCTTTTAACACTTGTGGACTTCAACTCCCAGAATTCCTCAAGTCCAGAGGTCCACAAGTCTTAAAAGTTGCCAAGGTTGGAGACCCCTGGTTTAATCTACAGACTTTTTCCTTGCCCCGTGCCTTTCCTTCTTGACCCATATTTGCCTTTTATTACTATGCATTTTATTTCTGCCTATATTGTCTGCCACTTTTTGTAGTTCAAATAAAAGCTAATGATTTTCATGATATTAAACAGACAGTATATGAAAGGGAATGTACACCAGGTTGCCAACAGCCAAGAAAGGAGCATGTCAAGTTGTTCAGGCCTATGTGCAACAAATATGTGAAACATTGGGTTTATAAAATGTTTTTAAAATAATATATGGATAAAATATTGTAAACATTTGCTTTTATAAACAAAATAAATGAATAAGGTGTAGTAGATGTATAACAGTGCTTACTCCCAAAAGGACTATGGCTGAGATTGCACTTCTATTCCACACATACCCTGTCACCCTACCAATATAGCATATGTGTATATGTGTCAGTTGTGTATGTGTCAATTTGAATCCATGAACGAAGAGTGAGATATAAATTTAACTTGACCAGGCATGAGGAAGTTTTCTGATGACTCTAGGATGAATAAGGCATTTAGTTACAGCAATGGAAAGTCTCTGTGTTAATCCATAAATTTTTAAGTGAGCTTGGTATGAACATGTATATACTACTACTACTACTACTACTACTACTACTACTACTACTACTACTAATAATAATAATAATAATAATAATAATAATAATAATAAAGTTGGAAGGGACCTTGGAGGTCATCTAATCCAACCCCCTTCTCAGGCAGGAAACCCTATACCATTTCAGACAAATGGCTGTCCAGTCTCTTCTTAAAAACTTCCAGTGTTGGAGTATTCACTGCTTCTGGGGGCAGGTTGTTCCACTGGTTAATTGTTCTAACTGTCAGGAAGTTTCTCCTTAGTTCTAGGTTGCTTCTCTCCTTGATTAGTTTCCATCCGTTGCTTCTTGTCTTGCCTTCAGGCGCTTTGGAAAATAGCTTGACTCCCTCTTCTTTGTGGCAGCCCCTGAGATTTTGGAACACTGCTATCATGTCCCCCCTCGTCCTTCTCTTCATTAAACTAGACATACCCAATTCCAGCAACCGTTCCTTATATGTTTTAGCCTCCAGTCCCCTAATCATCTTTGTTGCTCTTCTCTGTACTCTTTCTAGAGTCTCAACATCTTTTTTACATCATGGTGACCAAAACTGCATACAGTATTCCAAGCGTGGTCTTACCAAGGCATTGTAAAGTGGTATTAATACTTCACGTGATCTTGATTCTATCTCTCTGTTAATGAAGCCTAGCACTGTGTTGGCTTTTTTGGCAGCTGCAGCACACTGCTGGCTCATATTTAAGTGATTGTCCACTAGGACTCCAAGGTCCCTCTCACTTAATGCCTTAAGTGGCTAGAGTAAAACTTTCCTTAACTGCAGTTAGTTTCATCCTGCCCATATAACAATTTTGTATATAGGTGGATGTTGCTTAATGACTGCCCTGTTTAGTGACTGTTTGAAGTACTAAAAAAGTAACTTCACAAATAGCCCTCATGTATTTTGTCAATCACAGAATCCCTGGGCTCATGTGATCACTATTTGGGCACTTCTCAACTGGTGAACATTTATGATGTTGTAGCATCCTGTGGCCATGTAATTCCCACACTGCGCAACCAGCTTTTGTCAAGCAGAGTCAATGAAGAAGACTGCAGTAAAATCACAAGTTGACTTCAATGACCTTCAGTCACTTGCTTAACAATTGCAGCGAAAGTGAGATTGTTATATAGTCATAATTATGTGATGGTTTGCTTAGCGACTTTGCTTAGCAACGGAGTTTCCAATCCCAATTATGATCACTAAATGAAGATATCAAACTAATTGAGGATTCATGGCCCTTATTATTTTACCACTTTATCCACTATTTGGAGGAGTTCTTATGTTTGAACTGTAGCAGACTGAAGGTCAATAGATAAAGCTCCTTCTTTCACTGTTGGAATTATATATTAAGAAAACTTGTGCTTATTGATTCTGAGCATATCCTTCACATCTTTACGATTCAGAAGGCTAGCTAAAAATAAAATTACATCACAGGAGGTGAAATTGGCTCACAGCTCAAAAGACGTCTTTGTCAATGTTTCTATGAATATTGCTAGACTACAATTATTCTTTTTGTAAATATGAGATGATTATATTACAGCAGTGTTTCTCAACCTTGACAATTTTAAGGCATGTGGACTTCAACTCCCAGAATTCCACAGCCAGCATTGCTGGCTGTGGAATTCTGGGAGTTGAAGTCCACATGCCTTAAAATTGTCAAGGTTGAGAAACACTGTATTACAGACATTTTATGATTTATGGTCCAAGGTATTGTATGAATCCAATAAATGAGGATTACTCAGTACCATGGTTAAGTAGTTCAGGGCTTACCATGGTTAAATAGTACTACTTACCATGGTTAAGTAGTTCAGGGCTAAGGACAATTTATTAATCCAGGCAAAGGTATCTTCCTGTTCTGATTCCTCAGGCTCAAAATATTCTTCCTCTGGTCATGGAGACCATCTTCCCTGTCTCTTGCCCTGCATTCCCATAATGCTGCAGAAGCATTTCATCCATGTCAGAATTCATTACTACACTGTTTATCAACCTCAGCAACTTTAAGTGATGTGAACTGAAACTCACAGAATTCCTCAGCCAGTAGGCTGCCTGGGGAATTCTCTTAAAGTTGCTGAGGTTGAAAAATGAATTACTATATAGTACAATTTTACATACCAAATAGCTCCAGTCCAGGAATATGGGATTCATCCATCATCTCTGAAAAATTTCAATTTCAGATGAGTGAGGCAACAATAATTCTTCTTCCTAGCATCCCACCTAACCCCAAATCTTGCTTCAGCAGGAGCTCTCCACAGTTCTGATCCTTAGCCCTCTGATCTATACCTCTGCATGCTTCCTAATTCACCTCTCCCAATTTGGTATTTTCCTGACATACCAGAATACAGGTCAGCTTGGAAGGCTGGCAGTTGCAGTCCCTACATGTGGAAAAGACACAAATGTGAATGAAGTAACAATAAATACACCTTCAATTGCAGGGATAAAGCAAGAAAATACATTTATTTGCACCAGGAGAAAGGAATTGAACTCAAGAGTTATTCACAATGGCTAGTATTTTGAAACAGATGCATAGCAAGTAGAACTTCAGTTTATAAGAGTGCATATGATAATACATATTTCTACTTAGAAATAAATACATTTTTGCTGAACTCTCAGTACCTGTTTTCCCACAGCATATTGAAGTAAATTGGACTGCCACTCATCAGATTACTTTTCTGTGTACTCCTAGACAGTGTGGATAACTTATGGAGATGCAGAAAAATGTGGTTCAATGATTAACATAGGCAAGTTAACCACAGGGAAAGATACTACTGAGAAAATTGGTGAACAAGCCAGTTTAGAATCAAGTAAAGCAGGGGTATCAAACTGCTGGCCCGCGGGCCGGACGTATCATGCGGAAGCCGCGCCCACCGCATTGCCGGCAATGGCAAAACTGTCCCGATACATTGCACGACGTCATGTGATGTCGCGAGTTTGACATGTCTGAAGTAAAGGATGACTTCATCACATAGAGAGCTGGAAGATCCATTTCACATTTGGAAATGAACGAACTTTCAGCAAATTGTATCATGGAAACATTTTGCAACAGGTCACTCAGGATTCCTTAGAGGATGCGTGTATCTTGCCTTAAGTTTCATTGAATTTCCACAGTTTGGGTAAGGTGCCTTTTGTTGATTTTGATTTTTTATTTGTTTGTTCATCAACCAGAGTTCCAATGGTAGGTGGGCAGCCATACATACTTACTGAATAATTTAAGGAATAGATAAAGTTTATAAAGTTGGAACATATCTGGAACACCACACCCCATGAAATTAGATTGGCCCTAATTCTGACAGCTTTTTGTAAAGCATTTAAAGCAAGGGGGTGCTCCAGGGCCTAGGGATTGGAATGTTACATGACCCACTGAGAGGGTTTTGTAGTTTTGTT